ATTTTTCTTTTCCAAGAAAATCAAGTCAGAGATTTAATTTTTCATATCCTTTTTTACTTAAAAGACAGTTTATTTTGGCGCGCTCGGGAGGATTTGAACCCCCGACCCTCTGATCCGAAGTCAGATACTCTATCCGCTGAGCCACGAGCGCAAAGTACTATAATTGTTTTTTTCAAACTTTTTCAGTGTTTTATGCGGCAATTGACTCAATTTTTTAGCCTCCGGCAAAATTAACACCGCCTAATTTTTAATATCTTTGTCTATTCGAAAATATTTTTATCATATTTTTCCAAATCCAAAAGAGCATTGCGAAAGGCAATCGCCTGGTCAAATTTGAACTCTCGAGTGAATTTTTTCATTTGCCGCCGGAGATTTTTCATTAGCCTGGTTAATTCCTTCGTTTTCATTTCTCCTTTTTGGGCTTTTTCTACTAGGAGGGCTATTAGCGGGTCCAGAACAATATCTTTAACCGGCTTTTCTACTGTTTGAGGAATGATATTGTTTCACCGATTGTATTCTTGCTGGATTTGTCGTCGGCGATTAGTTTCCTCAATGGCACCGAGCATATTTTCTGTAATTTTATCAGCATATAAAATAACCTTACCATTTCTGTTCCGAGAGGCCCGACCAATTATTTGAATTAAAGAACGAGTATCACGCAAAAATCCAGGTTTATCAGCGTCCAAAATACAGACCAAGGAAACTTCCGGCAAATCTATTCCTTCTTTGAGGAGGTTAATCCCTACAATTACGTCATAAACTCCCCGTCGTAAACTAGTAATAGTCTGATAACGCTCAAAAATTTCTAATCTGCTGTGTAAATATACCACCCGAATTTCTCTTTCTTGTAAGTAATTAGCAATATCTTCGGACATGGCAATGGTTAAGGCGTAAATAAGAACTTTTTCGCCACAACGGCTTTTGGTTTGGATTTCTTCCATGATATCAGCAATTTGATTGCGAGTGGTTCTTACTTCTATCTGGGGGTCCAGCAAGCCGGTCGGACGGATAATTTGTTCGACTGGTTGATAATTTACTTTGGCTAATTCGAAATTGCCAGGAGTGGCCGAAACATAAAGAACATAATTAATTTTGGCAAAAAATTCCTCTTGGTTCAAAGGACGATTATCCAGAGCCGAAGGCAAACGAAAACCATATTTTACTAAGGTCTCTTTGCGGCATCGGTCCGTATTATACATAGCCTTGACTTGAGGAATAGTGATATGAGATTCGTCAATAATAGTCAAAAAATCGTCCGGAAAATAATCTAATAGAACAAAAGGGGTTTCGCCTTCTTTTCGGCCGTCAAAATAACGCGCATAATTTTCAATGCCGGGGCAAAATCCCATCTCCCGCAAATTAAGTACGAAAAACAAATTGCTAACCAATTACAAGAGATAAAAGAATTAAGCAAATACGAAACCCGAAAAATTCCGGTTCATATTGATTATTACCAAGTCGACAATTTAGCCAAAGAAGCCCGTGAAAAATTAACCAAAATCAAGCCGATTTCTCTGGGGCAGGCTCTACGAATAGGAGGGGTTAATCCGACCGATATTCAAATGTTAAATTGCTACTTGAATAAAAATTATCCACGAAATTAATGTATAAAATTACTACGTATAAGTGATAATAAATAACTAATATGACTGAAATCAAAATACCTTTTACCAAAAATAAGGCAGAAAAAGTCCCTGCGAGCAAAATGGGCTCTGGCAGCAAAGGGCTTGAATTAGAAATTACGACCAATTTTTACGTCGGAGCAGGTCTGGGAATTGATTTAACCAAAGCATCGCATGGAGTTACTTCTGACGGCTCTTTTCAAAAAATGGTTTTTATTTTTAAAGATAATGCTGAAGCCGACATTTATCAGGCCTTATTAGACAATAGTAAGACCCAGTTTGAATTGAAATTTGAGAAAGAACAGGTTTATTTAGAAGTGGGCGGATTTGCTAATCTTATTGACACTACCAAACCGAAAATTGAGGTTTATCCGGCCGACAATAGTCGATTAATGGTCGTTTTTTTTCAACCAAAGTTCGCCGGAATAATTAAACTGACTGCCACTTCCCAAGGTCCGACCGGACCTAATGAACCAAATATTCCCACCAACGACCAGCAAAAAATCCAACAATTACAAGCCAAAATTGCCGAATTAGAAGCCAAGTTACGACAACAACCTGATGCTCCGACTAATGAGGACGAAAAAAAGGAAATTAAAAGATTACAAGAAGAATTGGAAAAATTGAAGAAAAAAAATAATCCTCAACAAACAAACAAAGATAGTTTTCCCTACGGATTAGTCATTGGGGGGGGGGGTAATACTGCTTTTATTAATTATTATTCTGGTCTTGGCGACCAGAAATCGACGTCGCACTAATTAGAACATGACCAGTCGGTTAATCTCCCAAGCCAAAAAAAATCTCCGCGATTATAAAATTATTGACCGCTGGGTGGCCGGTTTAGAATTGACCGGCAATGAAATAAAGTCGATCCGTAATAATCGAGTAGCAATCGACGAGGCTTATGCTTTACCCCAGAAAAAAGAATTGTATGTTTTTAACATGAATATTGCGGCTTATCAATATTCTCATGCCCGCAGCCTAGCCCAGGCTCGCGATACTCGGAGAAAGAGAAAATTACTCCTCACCAGACGCGAGATAAATAAAATAATTGGGGTTATGAAAGCCAAAAACTATGCTCTAATTCCCCTACAACTTTTTATCAACAACAAGGGTTGGGCGAAATTGGAAATTGCTCTGGCTCAACGCCTACGAAAATATCAAATAAAAGAAAAAATTAAGGAGAAAGAAATGAAAAGAAAACTCCGTGAGGAGGATTTTTAGTAAAAACACTTAAAAAAAGAGGACAACAGGCTTGTTAAGCCATGTCCTCAACCTCACTTATCTCCTAAACAAAACACTATCACCAGAAAAAGAAAAGACTCCATTTTATTTTACGAAATATCAAGGTAAACAAGATAGCAAAAAACCAATCACAAAAAGAATAATAGAAGCAACTAAACATCATTTAACCAATTCTAATTGATTATTATTTTGCTTATTTTTAGGCACCTTTCTTTTAGAAAAAAGATAGAATAAAACTAAAAGTCCTCAACCAAAGCCAAAAAATACTACCACCGTAATTGATAGAGGCCCCGACACAACACTACATTATTCGACAATATTCTTTCGGCGAAACCTCCTGTAAATATTGTTTTTCGTACTTCTCAGTTTCTCAATCATATTTTTTTCCCAATAAGCCGTCGGTGCCTCTTATTTCATCTCGCAAACAAATAGAAGTTTTGCCATTATTAAAGACAGAATGATTATCTGCGGTTTCAGCAATTCCAACAATAGATGCTGTTGTTCCAATTGCTCCTGGTAGTGAACTACCCACCACTTATAGAAGTGGGGGCTTCTCGGTTCCTAGACAAGGCTATCACCTAGTCTCCCCGAAGG